CTTGCCCGTGTAGCAAATGGCATTGGAACCAACCAACCAAATTCAACCTTTTAAATTTTGTCTTTTGAAACAAATTCATAGATCTCTTAATTTGAATGTTTTTAAATTACCCCATGAAGTGAAATTAATAAAAAGTTGGCTGTATTCAAAAATAATAAAAACATTTATAAATAAAGAGATACATTACCTTTCCTCAGGAAGTTTAGAGAGCTCACTTTTTACTCCCCCTAAAACTAAAGAAAATAAGCATTTCAAACATACATTCAAAACTAGCAATACTCTAATGACACTGAGCTCTTATGTTTCTGATTTTTTTTTCNGGACTCCATACTAAAATTAACATACTAGTTGTAATCATGAATCTTATACTAACAATACCTTTCTTTGTCAGTTCTATATGTTACATTGTTATTTGTTTGTTTACACTTTTATTTTCTGGAGTTAATAATTTAAGATTAAATATTAATTAAAATCATTTGAGATTCATTTCATTTTTTTTATTTGAGAAAAGAATGAAAAAAACGACTTACACTCAGAATATTTTTTTACATAAAAACTTTCAATACTATATTTCATTCAAACTTAAAACAAAACATAAAAACATATTCATTATGCATGAATTCAGTATTATGAATGCACACAAAGTTATAAAATCTGAAATATGTAAGAATTTAAACAGCTGTGCTATTCTATATAACAGAAAACACAGTTTGATCAAAAGAAATCATTATTTCATAGATTAATGAAGCTTAAACTTTATACAAATTTAGATATTTTTCGGTTAGCCGGGTGCTAAGAAATTCAACTATTTTTTTTTACTTTTTTATTTTACTTAATTTTTTTGTTAATGTTCATTTTGTTCAGGAACTAAAAACTTAATAAAATATTAAAACAGTGGGAAAAAAAAGTTGGCGAAGAAGCTAATTTTTTTGCAAACTTTTCACATGCTACTGGCTAACCAAAAAGTGTCCAAATTCAATTACGTTTTAATCACAATGTAAATACATTAAAAATATGGAAAAAAATTTAAAGCATTAGGAAAATGAATTCAAAAGTGAGTAAATAAATTAATGTTTACTTGTAATACTTACATTTCATAAATTCAGTATCTGCATTACTATCGGCAGAAAGAGCTGACCCATTCCTAGAAAACAAAAAAAAAACAGAACAGTAAAAAACAGAAAAATACTCAAAAAACGTAAATAAGAAATAAAACCTTTTAACTATTATGTTCAGATTTGATTTTAAACTAATAAAGAGTTACATTCAAAAATTGAAGAAGAAAAAATATTCATGAATTCAAAGATATATTTACCTCTGCTCAGAATTTTCAGGGAGCTTATTTTTAATTCCATCTAAAACTAGAAAAAGAAAAATTAAGCATCTTTAAAATCTTTTCAAAATATTAAATACACAATAATATGACAATAAAATGAATATACTCTGTCTAAACATACAACAATCAATAAACTTCTTTTGCTTTTACAAAAATAAACTAACTTTTACATGTTTATCAGGCAGAGTTACATATTA